ATATACTCTGACTAGTAATATAACTCAAACCTTTTCAGTACCAATTGACAATTACGGCAGTTTTTGATCAAGATTTGATCGAGATTTGGGGTTTTACCAAAACAAAATACAATGAGGCATCGATTAAAAATACTGTATAAATTTGGTATATATTATGGTATTTAGGATTTTGTTACGGCAAAATCTCAAACTAACGCGGAGTCGACACGGACGAAATTATCGGGTTTGAGTTACATCAAAAAAACAATACTGACTAAATTGGCCAGCATTATAACTAATGTCAGCCAACTTTGTCAGTATTACATCCTTGACATAGAACCATAATTAGTTGATATTTTTGAAAAGTTTTATACTCTAAAAGGCAAAAATGAAAATTTAAAAATCTTTATCGAACAATTTTTTTGTACTACAGTCTAATCCCAACAAATAAAATTTTTTAGTGGCTAAATTTGAATTTTGATTTTCATAATTATAAAAGGCACCTATGGTGGTTTTTTGTATACACAAAATTTTCATGTTAGGGCTAGTATTTAGGGTTAGAATTTTTTGATAAGGGTTTTGGGATGTAGAGCATTTTTGCCTGGATCGCCGCATACCAATTAATTAGACAGTTTTTAAGATAATGCAACATAGGTGATAAAACGCCATAGGTGCGTTTTAGTAAAAGTGTTAATTTTTATATATACGTATAGTGTGGCAAAATTTAAAATTTCATTATAAAATGACCAAATTTGGTATATAAGGTGGCCAAATTGTTTGTTTAATAGTATTTTTAAGCGGCCAAATCATTGATAGAGTTGACTAATTTTTGTATCATTCGATCGTCTCAGTAAAACGAATCGATATCATAAATGCGTCACAATACTAGATCCTCCCTTATACTTTATTAGCTCTTTAATAAATACAGATATAAATTACTTTATATATTTTTATTCTTCTCATTGCTTTAGCGGTATTATATATGGTGAAGCTCATTAGATGATGAAAGATATCATGAATTGATTCGAATAATTGCATAGGTAATTCGATTTAATTTCTGTTATAAATTCGGATGCAATTCTACGTACCAATGGTAGATTTCCAAATTCGTTCATGTTATAATCAATTTTAGTAACCTCCACAGTAATACTGAATTTATTGTTACAGACAACTTCATGCTCTTTGTTATTGCGACAACACGTTAAATAATTTTTTTATCTTTCATACTGATACTGCGATAAACATTTGATAAAAATATAAGAAAACAATTGTCTAAGAAACCCAAGAATTTTATAACGACATCAATTAAAAGTAAATAATGTTTTTCATTCACATACCAGTAATACGGTGTCGTTCAATTTTTGCAGAAATGGGATAATAAATTATAAACACTAATGACAAATTTTGAACAATATTTCATTTAAGTTAATTAATGATAAAAAAATTTTAACTTATTATTAAACGTTAAATTGTTTAATAAAAGCTCCACACTTAATATATTTACATTAAAAACCTGATTGTTTCTAAATAACCCAAGAGGCAAACCAAGACATCCAACCAAAACCAGTATTCCACACTCTTTTCTTTAGAATATATAACACAACTAAAAAAAATACCAATAAACCAAATAGAATGAGTAGCCTATCAGTCCAATCAATCTGTTCTAATTTGGTAATTAATTGTTTGGATCCGCGTAAAACTGATGAAAACCCTCGATATTCACTGTAAGTAGATTTAAGCGCGCGAGATGACTCATCTAAATAGAGTTTTTTGGTTGATTAGACGAAATTATTAAATAAATACACGTTGAAAATATTACAAGTAAAATGTGTCCTCACCAAGTACTTTTGCTGAATAAGCGCTTCGTTCAATTTCTTGTTGCATCAATTGGGTAGTGCGTCGTAGTGCATCTGTAACATCACTGGCAGAATGCAATAATGCATCTTCTGATCTAATTAAAAATAATTTTGAACGAGTCAGTAAAATTTATGGTTCAGATAAACACAATGAATATACTAACGTGAGATTACGTCTTCGCATCTCAAAGGCAAATGTATTTCGTCCATCTACACGACCCAATAACATTTCACGTTCTATTTTCGCCTCTCTTTCAATATTTTGCTTAGAAGTTAAAACAGCTCGTCTAATTGAAGCTTGTAACCTAAAAAAGATGTACTGTTTAATATAAAAAAAAAAATAAAAATAAAAAAAATTATATCATTCGACCTACTGCTTGTATTGCTCTTCGTTTCTCTGTAACCTATGTAAAATAGTTTGTTTATCTTTTACGCGCTCTTGTTCCTCCGCTGTTTGTTTGATGTCCTATAGAGTAAATTCAAATCCCATTATAGAAACAAGGAAATAAGGTTACAGGCATACAAGTATGTCGTTTACCTCTATCCATTTTTCAAGCTCCTTAACACCATCCCTAATTTCTGTATACAACTCTTGTTGAGTTGTTAAAGTAATTACATTCTTAAGCTGCGTAACTTTTGTTTCTAGCTCTAGTTGACGCTTATTTATGTTTTCAAAGCGAGCAAGTATTTCGGGTGATAGTGTTGCCATAATAGAAAAATTGAAGGGCACGAGAGCATGATAGAAATTCGTTTGATTGGTTATTTAGTTCTGATCATAAAATTAAATAATGATGTAATTTGGCAAACGGGCACGTGTCACTTTGCGGCACGTATCAGCCAATCATTTGTCAAATTACCGTATTCGACAAATTTGCCCAGTATTTGGTAATTATGATTCGTAGTGTCATTATCAGCTGTTGAGTAAACATTATATCCAATTGCTTTTGCTTGAATTGGACATATGGAGTCATCAAATGTCTAATTCACGCAATTTTTATACTGTATGTCCAATTGCCAACCGTAACACATGAAATATAACCATATTATTTGTGTGAAATACAGTATTTCATTATCCGACTAATATGTCAACTTCTGGGTCTCTTCGAAGCCCACATATTAAATTCGCAGCCAGATTGTACTTTTTCGACAATTATGCTTGCTAAATACTGAAATGGCAAAGATTATTACATGAGTTGCTATATAGCGAAATTATTTTTGGCTGATGGATTATACTTGGCATGCACTATGTATCATTGTAGGCTGGATAATTATTTTTACCACATACCTGTAACGGTAATTGGATTAAACCGTTTTCCGGAGCGTGGATCATTTAATCAAATTTTTATTATTTATCAAAATTGGAAATGTCTTTATCACATGCGACAATATTTGCATATTTCTTTATTGTGATTTATGCAGCGTTTAATTTTAAATCATAGCGTGGTCTAAGACTAAGTTTTAGCTCCGAACACATGCTATCTTAATACAGTAAGAAGCCGGAGTAGTGTTCTACCTAAACCACACCGGTATAGAATGTCAGAGCTGCATACTTTAGAATCCTTATTCCCTAGTGGTAACACTAAGGTGGTTTTTTTTAGCGCGGTGTGTTGATAAGCACAAATTAATACACTCTTGTACGTACACGTACAGTACTGCAAGAGGAATAGGCTTATATACCGTAAATGGATTAGTTTACCATAATTTCATCTACAACAGAAATTCACAATATTAATAATTATTGAAAAATGAGTCAAATAGTTATAGAATAGCAATTCGAGAACATTATTATCGTGATCAAATTAATATACAATTATGAAACTGTAAATTTGCTTCAATATGTTAAAAACTATATACTACCATTAAACCTTTGTATTTTTTATTGTTATTGACAAATAAATAATCATTATTTTGAAATCTACCATATCGATATTACAGTATTAATTCAAAATTCCCACCCAACAGATATGCCTAGTAAAATTGAAATTGAATGTAAATTTAAAACTATATGTCACCTTTGTCTTTTTACAAAGTATAATGCATCCTATATCATACAATAAATTATCTTTTTTTTCTTATTAAAATATAATAATAATCCCAACCACTATATTAATGGGATTAATACTCTGGGTTGTATGTATAAAAGTGGAAATCTCGTTTCCACTAATAACAATAACTCGGAAAATTATAATTACTAATATTGTATTTGAAAGTTCTTAAAATCTATTTAAAATTATTTCCAATACAAACAAAGCTTATTAAAAAAATCCCTAAATATAATGTTACAAGATTAATATTCTGACCGCACATCAAGATACGAGATATTAATTGATAGTATCTTGAGTCCTTATGTGTACAAATGAAAAACTTTGTTTTCACTAACTAATATAATATTATCGTTATTATTAATTTAGCTCTGATTATTAAGTTCTTTATTTTTAAGTGAATCTGGATATAATAAATCATCAAAACTACGAGCAAAGATTACAGATTCTGCGTCGCTTGGATATACACTCCCCGTTCGTGGATGACTCGGAGATAAAACACTTGGCATGTTGTTATTACTTGTCTGGTTATCATTACTTGTCTGGTTATCATTACTTGTTTGGTTATTATGTGATGGAGGTAGACTCAAAGAATGTTCACTTGAAGCGGTAGGAGTAAATAACATCAAATCATTTATTTCATGCGTTTTTGTTGCTGAATAAGCAACTGGCATTATTGTTTGCGTTGTAAATTCATCTGATAGTTTATCATCGTTTTCAATCGAAATACGTGATTTCAATGAATCATTGTCCAAATTTATATTACTTATACGTGTTGATTTAATATCTCGAAAATCAGTTTTCGAGTTATTGCTTCTTAATCTGCTCATCCTGAAAATACCGGAATTGCTACCACCACTACTTGATCTTTTCGATGAAAATGAAAATATTCTACCATCACCAAATTGTTTTCCTACAATGCTGAATCGTTTCTTTTCTGTGGTACCATTTAACATTCCAGTTTCTGAACCTTCAGCATTACTTCCAATTTCAATACTAAGAGTATCCCATCCATTAATATCGACATTCTTTGGCTCATCATCATCAAAATCAAATTCATCCGTTATTACAGGTGAATTTTCTTTGGACACACTCAGCATACATACACCATAAACTAATGTAGCAATTCCAATTGTCACTAATAAAAGAGCCCATAATGGGTAAGTACTTATTTCATCAAGATAGATCATAGAGTTGACAAGTCCCATGGCAGTATAAAATCCATAAAACATGGGCACTACTAAGACAGGATCATGCAATTTTAACGCAGTATTGAGACAATATACCTAGAAAAAAATTTTTAATATTATGAGAATGTGATAATTAAATTTGTCAAAAAATTTCAAATTTTCTACAAACCTGAAGCACAGCTGTTATAAAAAGGCTGACAAGAATAAAATAACTTAAATTATCAGTGAATTGATTGGAAACAGTAACCGATATATAAAAAAGTTTGACACTAAATTAATGTTAATAATAAGAAAAAAAATAAAAAAAATAAATAAATAAAAGAATTTATTTAATGAAATTCACATAATGTTAGACCAATAAAATTATAACAAACCCGCTTTTTGCTAGCAATAAAGTTTGACTTGCAATCAAGCCACCTACTCCAGCCATAGTCATTCCTACAAATTTTTTCAATCGTTTGCTCTCTATTCCTTTAAAGAATTTATCACTCATTTTTCTTTGCTCATCTTGGAGAATCCAGTAACAATAAATAGCAGCTCCGAATAACATAAAAGTAAGAAAATCAAGAAACGAAAAATATACGATAAAAAGGGGACGTGTCATTAATGACTTCAGTTTTTCTAACGTGAGATTTTCATCTATATATATATATATATGTATGTATGTATGTAAAAATGAAATATTGTTATTACAAATAAAATACATATTAAAAATGAAAATATGACAACTTACCATCTTGACCAGTCATTCCGCCAAATACCACAATCCATATCACACTAATTATTACTACAAAAGTGCCGACAATATCGCCCCTTGTAATACTTGTACCAACTAGCATATGAGCAAATATGAAATTAAAGATGAGTGAAATAGAGCCAAGTGGTGCGACCCATTGCGCTTTAAGGTAATCTATATTTAATGTAATATATTAAATATTAAATTTTAAATCTTTACAGAAAAAAAAATAATAATAAAAAATTTGAATATATAAAAAATGAAACTCACTTAGAGCAATAGTACTTCCTACAAGTTGACTAATAATATATAAATATAATCCAAAGTGCCATAACGGTCTGCCACACTCATGTCGTTGTGATTCTGAAGGTTTATGTAAGTTTTTAACATGATCTAGTTTTAGTAAATTAAGTCCAGCAGCGTTCATAACCGAGGCTGCAAAAGACACCAAAAATCCAATCAAAAAATTCAATATTTCTGACATCGAGGACATTTTATTTAATTATTATTAAACAATCCTTAACGAAAAGTAAGGACAAGCAGGTTTTTTTTTAAGGAATTTAATGATTTTTCTTTAGAGATTGTTCAGAATGAACAAAGAATGGCAAAAAAAGACCCTGCAAAAGGGGATTAAGAGTAGAATGACACAAAATGGTCTATTAATAATGAATTTGTTTGTTAATATAAAAAAGTTGTATACATATATTGTCAATGCACTTACTGTTAGGACTCCGATAAAAGACGATCTGTGGTATAAGGAAGCGAAACTCTTAAGTACGTATGTACGTACGTACTTGACAAATTTAATGGCATTAATTATTTTAACCACTTTTATACAATTTAGTTTTTGGTGATACCTCAAATAATTAAAATGCCTAATATGTCTTTTCCAAACAAAAAGGTACGAGAATAGGTGTCGTGCATTATTATTATTGTGTAATATATGCCATCGGACGATCTTTAGACAGAACTAATTTATGGTAATGAAATTTACCCAGTTGTCCGGGTCGAAGTATTACTGAAATGACTAATACTCATGTAGTTTCCTGACCAGCTTGACTAATTTTTGCTATCTATCTCATCAATGAATGTCTTTCTTTCAATACCCGCATATTTAAGACTTTTGAAAAGAATTTTAAACAAAAAAATTGTTGATATGAAACATATAAACGCATACATGGTTATACGTTAAGTACTAAAGTAGCAAAGAGCCGTTTAAATTTCAATGCTTGCGACCAAAAAAAAAAAAAGTATTGTTCTTGTTGAATATATTTCTCTTTATAGCATATTCATTCTTCTAAAGATTTTTCTTTCTATTACACACACACATTATCTATTAATTATCATCACCTTTTACTATATTATTCGGAGCGAAGCGCAACTGATCTCTGGTGATACGATAGTATTTTTTGGTGTGCTTTAATCAAAAAAGGCAACTTATAAAATGTTGGACTGTCCACCCGCCCAAGTGATGAGTCATTATTAACCTTGTAATTGGTTACGAAAAAAATAAACAAAAATAATGATAAATTAAGTGTAACATGTTTCGGATTTAATAAAAGTTCCTATTTTCTATATTTATTTTTTATTGTTTATATATATATATATATTTTTATATATATAATATATATAATTGATAATATCGATATACGTAGAATATTTGAATCAAATTAATTGTTTTCTTGAAATTGAATTTTATTCATGTAACAGGTAAAAGGTTGTATTTCGTACTAAAATTAACGATCGACGTAGTTTCCGTAAGTCCTTAATGAATGTTGGTCGATATTTGACAAGTGAACTAGTCTTGACCCATTAAGTAAAAATTGTCACAGCACGTATACGTATTCAAATTATATAAAAATATGAAACTTTGATAAAATCTAGTATCACTACAGCAGTTTTGTCAATCCTAAACATTAAAAAACAATTCACAACATTCACTAAAATATGCTAGTAAGGTTAATTGTTTCTCATAACCCGACCGGGTTAGCTTTTATAGTTTCAATTTAAAATTTTATGTTATTTATATGTTATTTATTATGAATATTTACAGATGAGTTTTGAAAAAATTTTTATATACTTTGCAATATTTTTTAGATAAAATATATATATATATATATGTTACGAGTCGTGTCAAATTAATAAATTAAAAAACTCCGGCATCAACATAATTCCGGCCCGCACTAACCCTAAAATTCTGCGGGAGACATTTTAACCCGGGTCAAGTTTAACTCAACTTGACTCGTAACATATATATAATTTTGACTTTAGTTTATATATTATGAGAAACAATTATTGACTTTATCAAGATTACGGGGTATTTTTATTACTAATATAGAGATAATTTATTTAACAACCGGGTAAATTATTTATCCCTCACCATTTTTTTAAAAAAATGTTAGCAGATTAGGGGTGAAATTGTGCAAGGAATCTTTTTTGTTAAAATCCCAAAAGTGGTTTCATAAGCAAAATATTAAATTATTAATAATTTTTTTGTTTTTATTACAATTTATGTTACACCTGATCTTGATCTGATCTCTTGCATATAGTGTTCCGAGGTTCACAAGCATGTTCGGGTTCGGGTTCGGGCTCTATATAATACTTCTTGACATAACCCACTTTCTCAACATTCTACTTCCTTGACATTTCACTTCTCCAACATTTACTTTTTCTTGGCATTTACTTTTCTCTGACATTTGCTTTTCCTTGTCATTTATTCTTCCTGTCATTTACCCCTCCTTGACATTTCACCTTCCCCGCCATTTTCTTTTTCTGCCATTTCCCTTCCCTCTCCCGACATATTCTTTTTTATTTTTTTTCAATTTTATTAACATGATGAAATGAGGCATAAGTAGTTTTGGTACGCTAATGAAATGAGTTCACCAAGAGAAAATGAGGCTTTGGCTTTCAAGTTTATCATTATTATTTACCAGTTCAGCCCTTGAAAATCTGATCGGAGACATATGTTACCGTTCACATGTTTCAAGCTGAATTAGGTCATCTTTCCTTGACAAACTCATTTCATCAACGTACTTAAACTACTTATGTTACCTCATTTCATTTCATCACGTTGATTTAGTAAAGGATCGTTCGTTAATTCGTTGGCAGGTAGGTTTTTTTGGATTTTAGGATTTTCGGATAAATAATTTAGGTTAGCTCCTAAAATAAAGCTATGTATCCGAAAATAGAGAATTCTACCAGTACGTACAGCAAATACGTGACTTATCTCCTTATTGGCATAACATAATCACTACTACGTATTAAAATTAAAGCGAGTAAAATTAAATCCTTACAATAAACTTATACAAAATATACTTTCGATATCATATTTTATTTTTTCATTTTGAAAATTTTTTGCCAGTCAATTAGCAATGCGAACAAGTCACTTGTTTTTGCTTTGATGTATTATTAATTCAAAATATCGATCATTTTCTAAATCGGGTTAAGTGAAATAATCGTCGTCATAGGCGATCAGTAATTATTTTTTCACACCAGTTATGTAAAATGGTCTCGATTCAGGTTTTGAAATGAAATATATAATTATCTGAGAAATCACTCAAATCGATATTGCAGCAAATATTTGAATCGGTAGACTATGACGAAATGACCTCGGCACAATCAAACACAATTTGACAGTCAAATACTTGTGATTAAGTCGCAACCAATACTATATATATATTTGGTTTTATGTCCTGTTTCGTTATTAAGTGGCTGTGTATGGGAGATCTGGGTTTGGGGCCACAGATCATGGTTTGAGACTACGTATAACGATAATGGTTCAAGACCACGGATCTTGGTTTCAAACCATAGCAGACTAAAATGTATAAATATAATGCCCAAACTAATAAAGGAAAAAAGAATAAGTCATAATGAAATAATAAATAACGTCCTTATGAATTGTATATTAACTAAAATACATTCTTTAATAACCACCATCATTAAATCCGAATCCTTTATAACGCATAGCCTATGTGTTAGCTAAGTCTCTCCTACGGCTACAACAATGTCCGTCTTAATCACAGGTACAGTGTTTGATTATCGAATTTTGTTTGATTGTGCCAAACACTAGATCAAAGAAATGGATTCGGTTATCGTTGGCCACTGCTTACAGTATTCCCTCATGATTAAGATTCGAGTATTACTCACTATCCTTACCAACTGTTTCTTGAGTAAGATCTGGGAATATATTGATTTACTAATTTTAAAAAAATACCTGGTCTACCTTATTAATTTCTTATATTAATATCAGTGGAATTAAAATAAAAATCAATTATAGTTTAGATGATTATCAATTATTGTGTTATCTTAAAATTTAAACTCAAGCTACTATCAGATTTTTGATAATATTCAAACGTTATGTGCTTATTCTTTTTAACACCGATTTCTTTTTTATATTAATGAACAACTATAATTATTCCATCATCACCCAGGACTGAAATATAACATAACTTACTTTACTTTACCAATTAATCACGAATATAATAAACTACGTTGTAGATCTGCTGTTCAAAATTTTAAATAAATTTATATTGTTATTTGGCATTAAATCGGAATATATAAAAAAATAATAGCATAATGCTGTATCATAATTATATGAGTTTGTTAGATAACTGGAATTATAGATAATACATCTAACTAATCAATAAAGAACAATTACTATAATACAGATATTTTATTTGAAATATCTCTAGTAGGATTCAATTATATCTTTTGTTACTGCTTGCTTGAGATAACAACTTGGCCACTATACTATTTTAAAATACCTCTTATTAATAAATTTTTATTACAATTTAATTTGTATTTAATTTAAAAAATTGATATTTTTATATCTTTTTTTGATAATGTTAAACCTTTGCTAATCATTTCAAAAACTTTGATTAAAGATATTTTAATATATATCTAACCAAATTCAATAAGTTTTTTTTCTAATTGCAGAAGTCTGTAAATTTAAATAAAAAAGTTTTATTAAATTTGATTAGAAAGATGTCAAGATATTTTTGACCAAAGTTTCACAACAAATTACAACACGGTTTCTATTTGATAGATGTTAAATTTACAATAATTTGATCAAAGATATCTCGACAACCATCTGACTAAATTTGATGAGCTTTTTTATTTTAATTCTGTTGTAGAAATCTAGAATTTAAAGCAAAAAAGTTCATCGAATTTGGTCAGGTGAATGTTGAGATATCTTCGATCAAAGTTTTATAACAATCTGCAACTGATAAGTTCAAAATTTACAAAAACTTTGAATATCCACCTACCCAAATTTGGCGAGCTTTCTGTTTATTGAATTGTAGAAATCTGTGGAATTTAAGAAAAAAGAATTCATTAAATTTGATCAAATGGATGTCGAGATATCTTCGATCAAAGTTCAAAAAAATTGTAAAAATTTGAATGATCGATTAATTATTAATTTATATCCTCTCTCAACATTCAATATTATTGTGTATTTAAAATTATATAGCACTAAATTTTAAAATTCAACAAAACTAGATATATATTCTGAAATTCAGCGCTTTGTTGTGAATAGATTCCTGCACCATAGCAAAATTCCAATAATAAGAATAATTAATAACGGTATTGACAGATAAAATGATAAATAAACGATATCGTAGTATGAAATAATATATTAACAGTTAAAGCTAGATAACCTGTAGGTCGATCTACGTATTTGCTTCAAACCAGGTTGACTCTTTATATGTGAGTACACGTTATTTCGAAACCATTTATACTATTTTCAGATACGATTTATAATAGTGATCGGGTATTTTCTAAATAAAAATTTATTTCAGAAGAATATTTACCTTCAATAGAACCTTTTAACGTTTTAATGGTTATATAATGTTTTTTAATAAAAAAAAGTTGAATCAAATAGGAAGATAATCATAAACTTTAAAATAATGACATACATATAAATGATTGTAATATTAACTACAAACTACGTATAGCAAAAGTACGATAGCAATGGTTGATTAATCCGAGGAAAATTACAAAAAGTCAAACAACATGATGAACAAAACAAAGTTCTTTAAAGCGTTTAATTCAACATCCCTCTTACTTCATCGTGTTACTACACACAAAATTCAATTTATTTGTAATCGTTAAACAAATATTCCTTCCCAGAATTTAAAACCCTCCCACTTCTCGGTCCATTTTAGAAATTTCATCCAAGCGAGCAATACGGCCAAAACAGCAACAAAAATATACACTAGAGAAATATTATTAATATGAGCCTTTTCCACCATTTTATTCCATTTTTTTCTCGGAATGTCCAATTTTTCAGCATGTCTTTTTTTCAAAGCGTCTTCCTTTTGCCTTACTGCCTGATTTTGTTCGTTCGACTTCATTTCATGTTCCATAATGTCACCAGCGTCCATAAGAATGGATGATGAGCTAAATAAAATGTCAGACAATATATTATTAAAATAGATATTATAAAGACAAGCTGATTGTGAATTTTAAAATATTATACTTTTTATATTAAAGGTTGGTACAATTGGGATAAATTAATTTTTCTCAATAAAAGCGGGTTGAATCCTTTATGCAATGGTTCAGACTGTTAAAAAAGAATATATAGAATGTTAAATTTAATGTATTTGTGCATATTTAATATACGTCATTCTGGCTATATTGACACTCCAAAAGTGAGAAATTGCCGATATATCTAGACGTTGATTTAACCAGAGCCATTTTCATAACAGATGTTTTATCCAATGTCGATATAATCAAAGTGACGTGTATATATATGCAAGTTCATCCTTAAATACATACATTTTTGTGCTTTCAATGAAAGAAACGAAAGTAGATAGCGGTAAAAAGATCAGACTTTTTAAAGACAATTTAAAGTTGGAGAATGATGACGACATATTACCATCTTCATCAGAGCATGTTATCATAGTAGGTAAATTATTTTGTCATGAAATATCTTTGCTAGTCAGGCGGAAAAGGCGTAAGAAATCGACACATACACGGTAAAGCTACGCGTGTAACATATACCACCTGATTTGCAAACACGAAGAATAGTTGGATACATTCAGGGTTAGACTATTAATACTTTTGAATTTTTTGTACACAATGTTCGTAAATATGATTACATCGATCGATTTAGTTTACAGCTTTTTTTTTTTAGGGTAAGAAACTTTTTTTAAAAACTGTTTATATAATGAGTGGTATTATCCCTTATACCATCTTTGTACGTAGTGCACGTTTAAAACTATTTCTGGCGTAATTTAATTTATGTTTGAAAATCCCACTAGTTTCTATCTTTGAACTTCGTTAAAAAATGTTGCACTGCATTGTAAACAAATTTGCCTGTGAATTGTTTTGGAGTGGCTAATCTGTGGGAATTATATTGAATCATATATTCCAGAATGTTCAGGTTATGCTATGATAGTAGAACGATGTAGGAGACATTCAATATCGAATGAATTTTTTTTTTAGGGATTGGAATTAGTTTAGTCGACTAAAAAATTAATCTAATTAACTGCTATCGCAATGTGTAATCGACTATAACATAAACTGATTCCAATCCTTATGAATCAAATAAGCGAAATTTATCCGATTCTAATCACTGTTCGTAAGATAAAATCTTTTTTTCCTTAATATCAATACGTTTTTGTACTAAGTAAATCAATCTTAATGAGTTGTCTGTTCCGACTCACTTAACAAATTTACTGTTTTTTTTAAAAAAAAAATAATTCTAAATTTAATTTTTAAAAATATTTTTTAAAAAAAGTTAATTGATAAAAATAAATTTTTATTATTAGCTTTACCAAACCTTATTAGTTAATTTTTTAAAAAAAATCTTTAAATATCAAAGTTATATATTTTGTTATATAAAAATAGATAAATTTTAAATTTAGGTTTTATTATCGCTGTTTTCGAAATGGTTGAGAATAATAATACAGCGAAACCTCTCTAAGTGCACTCTCTATAAGTGCACACCCTCTTTAAATGCACATACAGATTCTGGCCAAAAAATATATACATGAACTCTATAAATGATTGTTCTCTAAGTGCACTTAGAGAGGTTTCACTGTATTAAGATTTAAAAATGTTTCGGAACTGGATTTAGTACAAAGTAAACCTTCGAACTTCAATAAAAGTTGGTTTTCAGAACAACTTTTGTTAAATCTCGAAGGAAGGTTTACTTAGTACTAAATCTAGTTTCGAAGCATTTTTGTTTGTTTACTTTTTATACAAGAATTATTTAAAATTTTTAATTGTCTCAAAATAACGCTCATATACTCCAAAATAACGCGGTGAGCGTTATTACGCTAAAATACGGTAGTTTCGCTAGTAAAATTTAGGGTTAGAGGTTAAAATTTAAATTAATAGCTAACAAATTTACTTAGAACACCCTGCTTTACTTAGTTAGCTCTTGAGATATAGCAATTGTGATATTAAACACCACTAGTATGACTTAGCAAAACCGGTAAAACTTGGTAAAATAATAATTTTTATGTAAAAAAAATTTTTTTGGAGTATACCCGTATACTGCGTATACTCATATACCGGATTACCTTAACAATAAGTACGTATGTATGTAATCAAACATCAACGTATGTGAGTATACGCAGTATACAGGTATATTAGAGAAATTTAATTTTTTTACACATTTCTACCATTTCGATAACCGCGAAAATAATTTTTTTATATGCTAAATAGTATTTTATTTATTAAAAAGTATCAAATTTTTGAATCTTTAGTATAGGCACTGTAGGTATATATAAAAACTAACTAATTTAAACTCTAACCCCCCTCACCCTACCCTAACACTAACTATTTAATAACTTTGCATAAATTAGTTATATATATTTACCTATACTGAAGGTTAATCAAATATTATACAGTTAGACCTTATAGTCACTCTCACAACCTTGATATAATCACACTATTTTTAACTTGAGCTACTATAAAACATATAAAATTTGACCTTCATATAATCAACTTTTTATGATCACCAGATTTTGATTCTCAAGCTGGTGATTATATCGAGGTTTGACTGTAACAAAATTTGTATTTTTATATTACCTATTTTTTAATTATTTTTAAACAAATTTGTTTAAAATTTTAAGAAGTATTTATAATTTTTTAAATATAAAAAACTTTAAAATTTTAATTTTTTATATAAAACAATATACTACAAATAAAATTATATAGTTATAAAAATTATTACACTTATATGCTATTATTTATATATATAAGTTATATATATTTATATTTTTTTAAGTTTGCATATAAAATTTTTAATACAAATTTTTTTATATTTGGGTTAGTATTTAAAGTTAGAGTTAGAGTTTTGAAAGGGTTTTTAGGAGTATAGCACATTATAATTTAAAATATTTTACACCAATTAATTAGCTAGATTTTGTAATACACTATAGGTTTATTTTAGTAAAAGTCATTATATAAATTGCTTTGATTTTTTAAACTGCTAAAACTTTCTATATAAATTTTTTTTAAAAAACTAACTAGTAATTTATATAAACTCTATAAAATTACTAGTTGGTTTTTAAAAAAACCTCTTGTATAAACCTTTTTAACAATTTGAAAATTTATATATAAAATAAACTTCAAACAAACTTTAAAATGCTAAAACTTTTTATACAAATAATATTTTAAATCTAATTAGTAACTTTTTAGAGCTTATAATGAAAAATAAAACAGTATTATATCTGTACGGTCATTCTTCTATACAATTACGCAGTTGGGCACATAGTAATTTTTTTTTAAAAAATATGCTTATAAAGAAGTTGTGATTATATATATGAAGGCTTTTTCCTTATAAATTAAATTATAGTTTGGACTAAACAATGTGATTACATATGATGTGATTATGTGGGCGGTGACTATATGGAGGGATGGCTGTATAAAAAGGTTTAGCATTTTGAAATTATTGCCAGTATATGGTATAGATTTTGCTCAATATATTACTATTAAAAATAAAGATTTCCAATGTGTCAGTTATCTTTTGTCCTATATAAAGAAAGTGATTGCTTTCTTTACTGTGTGTTCATACGGTGCTGGAAGCCTAAAAGCCTCAATCACTTTATATGAAAATAAAGATTGATTAATGCATCGAAGATAAGCTAAATTCAGTAGCGGCTTATTTTAATTTTCAGTAATATGCATAGAATGGCTGCTATTAAATACATATTATCCCTGGCGTATCATTTCTATGCAAAGAGATTGAGAATTCTGGACCCTTCACTTTATTGAGATTGACAATTTAAGAAATTTAATTTCAATGTTCAGTCGATGCATTATCCCTATATAGAGAGATTGAAGTTTTTAAATTTCCTGCGCCGTGCATACACCAAATTTTAATTTGAACCCACACTTTCCATAGTTAATTAGGCTGTTTATGGAGCATTACACTCCAGATTAATTTAGAAGTATAACCCACTTCATACCGGTGTGGTTTATATGCCACACCATTGATTGCTATAGGCGTCAGATAGAGTGGTTTATGCCCCAGAGATACTCCAGATTAATAATAAAATTAATTTTATTAATTGCTGTATGTTAAAGATATTTATAAAATTTAATATGAAGTAAATACTTCAAGTAAAATTATAGTCTAATCTAATCTGGACTAGTAACTTTGGTATGGTTTGGTTTTGATGGTTACTCTGGAAGAATATAAGCCACTCTGGATCACTTCGTTAAAAGCCCTAGTCAAATGTACTCGACAAATTAAAATTATATCTTAATAATTCAAAACCATACTTTAATATAATGAGTTTGCAAAATAATACATTTTCCCAGTCAAACTTATCTGTTTCCTATTGGTTGGAGCTCTACTACGTATGGGCGAAAATTTACGGTCGGAACATTGTGATTATTACTGACTATAATATTTAAATTATCTAAGGACCCATAAAGTAAACTATATAAAAACCTGATAAGTAACTGACAAGTAACTAACATAAGAAATTTTACGATCATTGGTTAAAATATCACTTTTAATCTCAGTAGTCACTCCAAATCTTGCATATGACTGGATCAAACAATTTTTATGCATAATAAAAATTATGAAAACTGGAAATTTTCGCCCATACGAAGGCATATATTTGACGGCCTGAGTCTATTTTGGTTACGGGTTAACTTCCCGAAAGCAATTTTACTGGAATACCATTTCACCGACGTCATAATACTGACATCCCATTTTACTAACAAGACATAATTCCGAAAGTCTCATTTTACCGAAATATCATTTAATTGATAATAAATTTTACTGATAAGTCATCTATCTGCAATTTCTATTTCACCAAATATTAGAAAGATGAATGTTTATTTTACTGACATGTCATTTATTCGAATGATACATTTTCCTGACATTCTATTTTTTTGAAAATATATTATTGTAAGCTCTTTTACCGAAGGATGTTTTACCGAATTTACGGCTACTTTTATAAATTTTGGGTCACCTGATAACCCGAAAAAAGGTATAAACTAATTTGCCGACAACAATTTCATTGAAAGCCATTTCACCGACAAAGTTAGCCTGGTTTATGTTGAGTTGGCCTGATTTATACAATTTTGTTTAATCGAGAAGACATCTTGTTGGGAAATTTCTTTTGAGGAATATCTCTTCAGGAAAACATCTTCTCGGAGAAACATCCTTTCGGAAAAATATATCAAAATATTTGTCGGTGAAAGGGTTTTGCCAGTAAAAAGTCTGTCGAATAAAATTTTTCAGAAATTCAGGTTGTCGGGGAATTGGTTGTGTCGGGAAAAAAGATTTGGTAAAAAATTTCTATCAGTAAAATATACATGTCTTGTCGGGAAAAAGGAATTCGGAATTATGGGATCGGGGAAATGGTATTTCGGGAAGGTAGGTTTCGGGAAAGTGAGAATGAACGGTCTATTTTGGCATTAATTTTGTACAGTAGTATGATACTGCATAACGATAATTGTTACTCCAGTACTCTGAGCTATAATGTCAAATGATCTAATAAAATTTCGGGTATTAAGTTCTTTGCTGCATATTATATGTACACATATTTTTATACAGATTGCAAGAAGTTAATACAATTTCTTTCAAAAATAAATTTTTTTGAGTAATTTATGAAAATGAAGTAGTTCAATTTCATTTTTTGTCGGAAACAGGAACAAAGAACGTACCGTGAACTTATGACGGAACCAGTCACCTGAATATAATCGAGTTATTAGCCATTCTGAGTTACCAGTTGTAAAAGATGAATTGTCAAATTACACTAAAAATAAATCTTGCAAGCCATAATTATGGTTTTTCATAAAATTATTACATATGATTATTAATTACACACAGTATTAAAAAGAGGGGACGTCCAAAGTGGGGGCAATTCATATAATATCACTTTATGTTAGAGGTTAGGCTCAGTGTTGGAAATCTAAATTGATTTTTTTTTTGAATGTTTATTAATAAAGATTTAAAAATTGAAATTCTCAGAGAACATTGAGAACATCTAAACCTATCTTGGGCATCAATGAAAATGTTGGAAGGAAATTTACATGTATAAATACATCTAACCCCACTTAAACAGTGTCGAAAGTCTGACTGTCGTTTTTTTACATTTTCACTTTTTTTCTATCAAATTTTCAAGAAGTTGACTGGTTTATTGTCATGTGATTCGTCCGCTTTAGATGACCCCTTAAAGCTACATGAAGGCTTTTTTATATTTAGGTAGAACTTTAACCGATCATAAACCTTCATTCTGGCTAAGACAGGTGACTCAACTCCGAATCCACGTCTCTCGATTACTGGTATTTCTGATGTCTGATGTTGGAATTATTGATATGAATGGTTATGGATTCCTACTTAACCGACGGTACCATATAGCATACACATTTTCAGACTCTGAAAAAGAATGAATTTCTATATAGAAGGTAAATGGGTCGGATCTTTCAATCTCACAAAATCTTCAGAGTCAATCTATCATATTTAATGATGACCCATTACATCTTGGTAATCCCTCATCTGGGATAATCAATCAAATTATCAATCTAGGATGTCAAAAAATTAGCAATTTTCGTTATTATGATTTTTGCCTATCTCACAAAGAAGCATTAATGGACTATAGTAAGGTTTTTTAATTGACACTCATACAATACCTTTATTTCAAAAATTTTTTTTACAAATACTTTAATTTAGGTGAAGATTCAGCAAAAAGTACTATACAGTATGTCCAAATAAGTTTTTTGATATTTTAAGTGTAGGATTCTTTCTTGGTATGATAGCATTAACAAGTGGTTTTAATATATAGTATCATAAATCGGAGAAAACATCGAACAATCCCTAACACTATATAATAAAATTTGAGGTTAAGATTTTTAGATTATTTACCATTCCCCTTAGATATTAAAAAATTTCTCGATATAATAAAGTTATCGATGTAATAATATTTTAAATTTTAATATTTATTATAAATGTATAAAAAATTTAATTAATCTATTACGCAATTATTGGCATACGTACAATTTATTTTTTCTTTAATATCACGAAACCACACATCGAGGCAGCAAATTCATATTCATCAGAGCCTTTTTTATTAAAAGCCCTAATAAGCTAGTGTAACTTTTTAATATGAATAATAAATAACTAATATTCAGCGGGTCAGTAACAAAAATAACTTACTTTGATTTGTAGCCACTTTTAGTTACCAGAAAATCTATAACATAAAATCGGGTGCGGGCGATCATATTTCGAACGCTTTTTTATTGGTTAGTTACGTGCGTATTGTTTATTCCATTGATTTAACAACACTACAGTAACTATGTATTTGAAGGTTGAGAAAGTTTTTTTTTTAAATATAAGTAACCAGTACATATGCAATATATACAATTCATTCTCGTTGTAGTAATATCTCGGTATTGAAGATTCGATACAATGAAGAGTTTTGAGTTAAGGCATTATTAAACTTCAGTTCAATATCATATAGTATTCTCTTAGTATAAGCTATAGTGAATATTTTTCATCCCGGCCCGATAACTTCACTATAACGAGAGTGGTTGTATTATAGCGCAGCATGAATAAAATCAAATAATTTGTTAATTCAAAACAAAAAAAATCGGCATATGAATTAATTTATCTATCATAAAGTTATCCATTTTTAAAATCATTGATATCAACCTCGAAAGAAATATGAAATGCATCATTCATTTTTGCATTAAAATGATATTTTGGTTTGTTTGATCAGCATACATTTATAAAGTAGAATCAACAAGCAGTAGACAACCACCTTTCACGAATTAGAACGAAAGTTTATATTCATAGTTCATAGTTCATTTATCTTGCCACAACATTGAATTATCCTCTCCCTTATTTATTTTAAATATGACGAAATTCAGCCTAGTGCACGTTTTTTTTGTTATTACTTTTGCTATTATGCTCTTTATAGATGTACCTACTACAGTTTACGGTACTTTGAATGTTAATTCACGCGACGAGTCTCATAATAAAGAACGATCGACATGTATAAATAATCTTATTATGAACGAAGACAATCAAAAAAGGCAAATTAGACCACCAAGTTGTCAACCTGCAAATGCCGAAGTATCCGCAGATTCTCAAATAAATATTGGAAAAGAACCTAAAGGTAAAGGTAATGGAAATGGAAATGGTAAATGTCGTAGCAATATTCCTATTATTCCCTGCGACAGTTGGGATTGTGGTACGTGTGGATTTTGTCAACCACCACCTGAGGTCTTTGTAATACCTCAATGCTGTGAAAGTCCTCAATGTTGTGAAAGTCCTCAGTGCTGTGAAAGTCAACAATGTCCAGAACAACCTAAATGCAAGGGAAAGACGCCTAAATGCAAAGGAAAGGGCAAAGGAAAGGAACCTAAAGGCAAAGGAAAGGGCAAAGGAAAGGAGCCTAAAGGCAAAGGAAAGGCGCCTAAAGGCAAAGGAAAGGCGCCTAAAGGCAAAGGAAAGGCGCCTAAAGAACAACCAATCAGCGTATCAGCATCTGGAAAGGTATATATTTATTTTAAATACAGTATATGACTTCACTCATTTTATTATTATTCTAATGTATGTTTATTTATGTTCAGGCCATAATCAGCAATCCACCTTGTAAAAATGTTTGCCAGCCTTCAGGTGATGTCCGTCGACGAGATGAGCGTATACAATCAAAGCGATCAGAAAATGTTTTATGTCCCAACAACGTTCCCCTTATTCCATGTACCGGTATATGTGGGGTTGAACAACCATCACCACCTGAGATCTTTATAATACCTCAATGTTGTGAAAGTCAAGAACCACCTAAGTGTGAAGAAAAGGGTAAAGGAAAGGGTAAAGGAAAGGGCAAAGGAAAGGGTAAAGGAAAGGGCAAAGGAAAGGGTAAAGGAAAGGGTAAAGGAAAGGGCAAAGGAAAGGGCAAAGGAAAAGGTGAAGGAAATGGTGAAGGAAATGGTGAAGGAAAGGGTAAAGGAAATGGTGAAGGAAATGGTGAAGGAAAGGGTAAAGGAAAGGGCAAAGGTAAGGGTAAGGGTAAGGGTAAAGGTAAAGAGAAAGCACCTAGTGAGCAACCAATCAGCGTATCAGCTTCTGGAAAGGTAATAGTTTTAAACATATGACGATAATTCATCTCTTTTATTATTCACATGAATGCTTATTTATGCTTTAGGCTACTATCGGTCCCGAGCAACAACCTAAAGGGAAGACACCTAATCATAATAATACCCGCCAACCTTGTAATAATGTATGCCGACGAGAAGAACATATACTATCGAGAAAATCGTCGAACCCTCGCTGCGAGGCTAAGACATTAACAGCTAAAAGATCAGATATTTAGGGACAAAATTAAAAGTTAACCCTATTTCTGCCTTGGATTAAAGGAAAGTAAATAAAATTGTAATCTTTGCTTACAATTCTCATATACTTCCGAACGCTTTAATCATTCTATTAATTTAATTATCAGATGATTTCAGCGATCGTTGAAGTTGGTAAATATACCGGCAAAGAACCAAAAGACGAAGAAAAAAAAAGGCAATTTCTCCATTATAATTAAAAGGATGATAGTTTTTTTTTCTTTAATAGTTAAAATTTCTTATACTTAAAAAATTTTGTAATATATATGTATTAGTATCAATTCATAATGGCATTATGTATGTTTAACGCATTAATTATGCTCTAGTCCTACAAAAAAAAAATCGAATTTTCTTAATAAATAGTACCATACACCGTCCACCAATGCTTGACGGGGTTGTAGGCAGTCAAATTTGATTTTATGTTTCAAAAAGAACAATTAAAGTTTTTAGTGTTCTCAAAAAAGTTTTAATGTTCTTTATATAGAAAAATTAAAATCTTTTTAATATTAAAAAAGATTTTGAATTTTCTCAATAGAGAACGCATTTTAATAATTTGTGTTTTCAAATGTTCTCTGATAACATTGAAACCATCGAATTTAAACACTGGTTGTAGGTCCCCGTGTTAAACAGTTAAAACATGAAACTATGTTAAATGTTTCAAGCAGAATATTTCTGGCAGCATTATGATCCCTATCTATCCTCAAACTACACAAGTCGCACAAAAATATTTTCTATCTCTCCAAGTATCCAATGTATATGACTCGTCACATTCTATCAATTCGATGTAGGAATATTCACTGATCTTATATTTGAGAAACATTTTAAACTTGCAATGTGACAACATGAGGAAGTAGAATTCTTGAATAATTAATATAAGTACTTAACTAACTTCTTGTAACATATTTTGAATTTTTGTGATTATGTACTTTTAATCAAAATTCCTTCTTTCTTTTATTGTATTGTTTTCAATAATGCCTCACTCAAGAATTTTACTGTTCAGATCATAGTTGCAGCACAGTACAAAATTTTAATACCGGGGTTAAATGTTATGACTTTGTTTTTTTTTGAAAACAATAAAAAACACGTAACTTTTTTATAATTGTTGTCCTCAACCTTGTTTTAATCTTTTTAATCTCGTGTTTTTAAAATGTAAATTGATTTATATTCTTATTTCAAATCTTTTTGCTATATAGAAATACAGTAAATTATTTATTTTTCTTTTTTTAAAACTTAATTTATATCTTGCTTTTTATTTATTTATAAACTTCGCAGAATTTTTTTATAGGTCTTTGCCTTTTATTGAAATTGCCACGGATTGTTCAAGGATCTCAGTAGAATCGAATAAGCATATGCAAAAGTGGGGTTCATTAAGTTGAACAGGCTAAGCGATACATGAAAGGTTTGTGTTTTTCTTTTATACTTTTCTAAAATTCTATCTTATTACTAATACTAATTAATTTGATGGATTTCTATTGACTACACGTCGCTCTGGGTATACCGACATCTGGATATAACGACATCATAGTAAAATCTTTCTATACCACATTTTTTTCAAAAATTTTAATATAAAATGTCGGTATAACTCACTATATCGACATTTTGAATTTTTTACTAATGTCTCAAAAATGTCGATATAACCAGAATGACGTGTACATATTTTATGTGCCGAGTAGTGTTCCGAATTGATTAAAAATTTTCCAATCGATTAGTTGTCAACTTAGTTATCGATTAGTTGCAACTAATTTCTCAGAGTAGTGACTACACCGCTATGACGTAGAGGTCGTACTACCCGAGGTTATATTGTCGTGAGATAGTTGTCGTGAGTGATGTAGTATGCCGTATAGCATAACTACCCTGAAAATTTCGCTGGCCAATCAAATTTCATTAACACAAAAATCAATAGTTTTGAGATGGTTCATGCGCTTTACACAATTATAATCAATTTTCGTGTATCAAGTTGCTGAATATACATAACCAAATCCTCTTTTGCAAATTTCTTTAACATTAGATATACCGTATAAGCGCGAAACAACGCGTTATTTCGAAATAATGGTTGATTTTTTAAATCCAATACAGTCAACCTTCCATAACTGCACGTTTTTGGGTAAAAGTGCATTTATAGAATATTCATTTATGGGG